CCGGTCTGCTCGCCCTCAAACCCTCTGTCGGGGGGAGGAGAAAGGCCCGGGGGGGAGGGCCTAGCCTCCGAGCTAGACTCGGGTCAGTTGAAGGCCTGTGGTCCCTGCTGAAAGGTCAGTGAATTAAAAAAGCACGCAGGGGAAACACGAGCAGAAGCTTCTACCTCTAACTGTGCTCGTATCTGGTCACACCTCAGTTTAGAGAAGTGTTGGCATCATAATAGACTTGAAGCAGTAGAAGTCGTCATTATGCAGAAAGGCACACGACAAACTTCAGCGTATTAAAGGCCATGCTGGGTCCACTGGGAGGCTGAACTGGTTTTTATGGGAGCTCACTGACTGTCGTGTACATGTATGTGACTGTCTCCTCTGTGACTGGTGTCCATCAGTGCAAACACGCAGGATAAAGAATATTCACACATCCTGCTTTAGAAGAACGTGTTGTAGTGGTTTGTCAATAAAACCAGTGCGTGCACAGCCACAGCGGTCAGACACGTGGTGCCGTCAGAGTCCCAGTGTTTCTCATTGACGTTGCACCTGAAAGATGAAGGTTTGTGCCACTGTGCCATCACATCCAGGCCACACTGGACATGATGGTGCACACACTGTGAGGTGTGGATAGGAGGGTGCCCTATGACCCGCTGAACCACCAGGCCGACTTGTCTCTGAGTTACCACCACCTTACAGTGTTTGACCTCAGATCAAACACTGTGTCACTGCCACTCTGCAGGAAACCACGGACAGTTTAGTCATTGTTGTGTGTGCATGGACACTAGTGGAGGGTGTGAGTTGAGTTGCTCCAGTGCCTGGCACTCACACTGTCACCGTGTTGTTGCTGTAGGCAGAGTCTGCGTCCGCCACACAGCGTTGCTAAACCGGCTCCTCTGGGCAGAACCGACCCTTATTGTACAACCAGAGTGTGTAATTTGATCCAGCAGGAACACGGGAAGCATGGAGCAGTTTTCAGCCGTTTAGTTCATGTCACCCGAGGGTCAGACACTGTCCTGTGGGTGATTGATGAGCAGTGTGATGAGTCAGGAGGGAGGAAAACATGCATCTGGATGAGACCGGCTCCCCAGTGGTTTGAGACATGTTTCACGTTTAACTGTGGGGAGGTTCGCAGTCCGCTCTGGCGCACGGTGATTTCCAACGCAGACAAGGCGCCTGTGTGTTCAGGTCACCGAGGCAGCTGCGGGTGTCGGGTAGTGGTCCTGTGTGCGCTCCACCCAGTGGCGGGTCCGAGCGGATGCCTCGAGGCTGATGCGCTGCAGATGTGCAGCTGTCTCCTTTATCTTCCAGGCTGCGCTGTCTTTGCACAGCGGTGGAAAACAATAAAGCTGGAAGCATGCTCCACATTCCAGCACATTAGCGTAACAGAAGAATGCACTGTGCACACAGCAGCGTTAATTGCAGGAGTTAATGTGTATAATTGGACTGTTTTGTGCCCTTGTTAACGACTTTTCACCACACCAATTATTTGCTCTTGTGTTTGTTGGACACAGCTGCCTCTTTGCATCATGCAGTGACTTTACTGTGTTCTGTGTGTTGTTCTCTCAGCACGTCAGTCCAGGTTTGTGCCTCGTTGTTCTGTGTTCGCCTTAGCTGCACTTCATTCAGTATCCGGTGACACTGCGTCATCAGAGATGAGGGTGCAGTCTGTAAACCCCCCCCCCCCCTTCCCCCACACACTGAAAACACACTCTGTCTCTTTATGCGCTCCATCCTCCTCCCCACCCTGAGTACCCCCCAGCTATGTCTGCAAGTGTTCCCATGGCAACTGTCGCACTGCCTGCCTAGCAACAGGCTTGATCCTTCACTGAAAAAGGGGGTGGGGTGGCATATGCGGGGTTTTTCTGGGTGCATGGATGTGGGTGAGAAAGGCAGCATGTTGCAGTAGCATCATTATATCACACTCTTCTTCTCTGTGGGTCGACCTGTGTTACCGGTACCACTCGATCTACCTGCATCCTCATCAGCTCCCACAGTGGCTGGTAGTGCCTCTGGCCGTCAGGGTGGGGTATCGCTTGGCTCTGTCTGGTACTGGTGCTAAAACGATACTTTTTAAACGGTACCAGAACCGACACTTGGTTGATGACATTAAACAACATCCCCGTTCATTCCCAGCTCCCAGGTAAATGGAAGGCAGCACATTGTTCATCGTCTGTTTCACAGCGCCAGAGGGCAAATGTTTCATTCAACAGGATCACAATCAAGGATCAAACTACCAAGGTAGACACCGGTGGCCATAACGGCACCGGGTGTCAGTACGCAGTCCTGTTAACCCATCAAACTTAACTCTCACTCATCTCCAGCTAATCTACGAACCCACAGCAAAAATGAAAACTGCGCTGATCCATATTATGATTAATATCAGGTGGTAGATGGTGAAGCACCGACTGCGGGGCTGGTCCCCGAAGTTGCTGTCTCTGGCGCCCCCTGCTGTGTGACGTATGAAACCCAACTACAGGACAAGGAAACAGAGGCATCACTTAGATGATGCACAACTACACAGAAACGCAGACACTAATAAACGTATGTGTAATAGCAGAAGAACCGGAAGAATGTTGATCTGAATGTGGCTGCATGGCAAGTCCGTGCTCTTCGTTCTTCTTTGACTACAGCCCCCCCCTCCAGCTGCTGTTTTGAACGTCTCTCATTAAGCTGTTGAGCAACAGCGGGCACACCCACGGCCTCCGTGAGTCGGACGCGTCCGCCTGCAGGCACCGTGGGGGCGCACAGCTCCTGCCCCTGTCAGTCAAACTTCACCTCCTCCTGTCACCTTTCACTTATTCTCCAACGCATCGTCTGTTAGTAGGGAAACATCCTGTGTCATCTCATGTTTTCACGCGTGGTTTAGTGCCGTGATGTGTGTTATTACGCTGCTGGTGTCTCACGTTGTGCTTCACTGATTTAGAACTGCACTTCCATCTAGTTGAGGAGAGCCATGTAGTGGTGGACTGGAATTATCTGAGCTGCTTGTTCTTTATACAGCTATAGTAGCTGGTAGTTACGTCTCCAACTAGGGTTTTACTTACAAAACAAACTTATAAAACATGATGTGCTGTAGCTTACACGGCCTATGGAACTAGAACTACAACGATGAGTCGATTAATCAGTCGACAGACAACAGTGTTTTCTCTTAACCTGCAGTGAACCCACTAAGTCTGACTGTCACTTTGGCTCTCGGTAACTGTGCCGAACATGTGCCACTACTTCCTGAAGTTTCACACACCAAATAAACTAAGTGAGACAATGGTCACCGGATGAATCCCAAATGGAAACTGCAGCATTTGTAGAAGAGCTTAAAACGAGCTGCTCCTCAGCTACAACTGAACAATGCTGTTTATGAACTAATGCACAAATAATAGGGATCAAAGTCACAGGGACTGGTTCTCTGGACTTTCAATGCTTTAAGGACAGTCTTCAGATTGTACTTTGACACTTTTACTTGTAATGGAGTATTTGAACAGCATAAATACTTTTACTTAATAGAACGACCTGGACTCTTCCTCACCACTACTCACATGGGAAATAAGTGACAACATGAAAGGAGCAGTGTGTGATATCCTTACTTTTACACAACCAAACCAAATGAACAAAGCTGCTACGCGTCCCATTGTCCAGCTCAGTAGCACCTTTCATTAGCCAGCCCCCACCCACCAAGGCATCATCAGGGTTGGCTGATTAAATTAAAAGCTCCTTGTCATGAGTAAACCAAACCTCATGTAAAAGTGGTAACACAAGTGGATTAATGATCAGCTCAGCAGCGTAATGCTGAAAATGGATTTATTCATATTATGAAAACATACAGAGAGACAGTGGACACCTCCTCAGTGGGACAGAGTGTTCAGACTGGGTCTGACATGGAGGTTAACTCCTCCTGTGACACGACATGATGCTGCTTCACACACACATGGTGACAGACACGCCTTGGGGGTTTGACGCTTGTCTGTGTCTGTGTGTCCAGGCCCCGGTAGACCAGCCGGCAGCAGGAAGCCTGTGCAGTAAGTCCTCTAAATAAAACCCTTCTTCCTTTGTGTCGTGTGAACCGCCTGCTGGCTGCTTTCCAGCTCAATTCAAAGTTGCTTCACAACTGGTTGTCTCTAGCTGAGTGAGGCTGTTAGGTTTGCATTGTGTTGAGGTGATGTAACCATGTTGTGTGTTTGAGCTGTCACAGTGCATGGAACAGAGAAACCACCACCGCCACCGTGCGCAGCGGAGATGACATCACAGGAGTGTGTACAGACAATTTTTACAGTATAATACAGAATCTGAAATGAAAACAACGCGTGGTGAGTATCAGTCCTGGTGCACGGTTGAGCACTCCTGCTCCCTAGGCCTCGACCTGGGCTGCGTTGGTCCTCAGGTGCCTCTGGCCATGAGCTGCTCTGTGAACAGCTTCTTCAGCTGAGCCACCTCCTCGCTCAGAGAGTGCAGCTGAGACTTGAGGTACGTGTTCTCGTGCTGGTACTGGGCCTCACCTAGTCCTTGTGTGGCAGGAGGCTGGAGGCTGTAGCCTGCAGCTGAGGCGTTGCACTGAGGGGACAGTGTTCCCCTCCTGCCCTCCTCCCCCTCCAGCTGCTGCAGCCAGTGTGCTGCTCCCGTTTCCCCTCTGCTCAATCCTTTGGCATTCTCTCTCGGGCCCTCCCGTCCCACTGTGGAGAGGGCATGGCTGCGTCTGGTGCCACTGGTGTCCACAGCAGTATCGCCCCCATCCCCACCGCCTGGCATCTTGAATCGTAGCTTGTAAGGCAGATTTTTTATGGCCTCCGCCTGGTCCAGCTTCCCTCCGGCAAATCCTGCAGGTGAGTGGTGAAGCTCATAGCCCAGCTCCTCTGTCCTGTGTGGTGAAAGCTTCCCATGGTCACTCAGGCGGTCTTCAAAGAAGATGGGGCTGCCCACACTGGACCCCCCTGGTGTAGAGAATCCAGAGTCCTCGGACGTGTTCCCAACATCCCTGGTGCTTCGCACACTCAGCGGGGCTGTCTGGCTGCTGGAGTGTGAGGCTGAGGAGCTCGGGAGGCTTCCTTCTTCTCTGTGTAGAAAATAATGAGGAGTCAGGATCTGCGCGCTGTGCTGAGCAGCTGTGGTGAGGGGCAGGATGGGTGTGTTGGAGGGGTCTTTGACCAGGCCAAAGCGAAACTTCAGAGCCAGCAGCTCGGCCCTGAGTCGAGCATTTTCTTCCAGCAGAGCCAGAACCCGGCTCTCAAGGACAATGTCATTGACACGCCGCTTCTCTCGGGAGCGCTTTGCTGCCTCGTTGTTCTTCCTCCTCTTGTCCCAGTAGCCCTCGTCTTTCTTGTCATGGGGAATGAACTCGCGCTTGCGCCGGATGATCGAAGCGGGGTTCTCTTTGCGTTTGATGGCTGAGGTGTGACCCAACAGGGAGCGGGCCAACAGGCTGCTGGAGGTCAGGATGGACAGAGCTTCATCTGTGAAGGACAGCGGCCCTCCTCCTCCTCCTGCTGATGCTGCTGCTCCACCTGCTGCAGGTGTCTCTAGTGCGTGGAGCACACCTACTTCCTCCTGCTCCCTCATCTGCTGGGACTCGTCCTCAAACATGTGCTGACTGAGTGTTTCCTGCTGCTGAGCGTGCAGAGAACCGCTGTGCGGTGCCGAGCAGCACCCTCAGGATGTCTGGATGAAGCAACAGAGCCCCCTAGTGATCAGCAATGGAAGGAAAGGAGACGAGGCATTAGTGGTTATGCAAGAGCCATTACAACACAACATTATGCAACCCCATTAAAGCTCGCCAATAAAACCGGAGCGACTTGTACCGTGACCTGGCAGGCCCCATTGTCTGATCAGTGTGTGTTGTAAGCACAAAGCGGAAGAGCCACACCTCTGGCTTTAGGTTCAACACAGCAGCTTTTTGAGCTAAGACACAAAATGTGACACTAACCTGTTGAGATTTCCACCTACAGTTTTGTTTAGTTGCAGAGCTCGGCCGACATTTACTGCTGTTCTGTTAATCTGTGCCGACTGCTTCAGCAGCACTGACCCACTTGTCATATCGACCTCTGACAACACAACTCTGACGCGCACTCCGCATCAGCGGCATCCGAGACTCAACATTCAGAATTCCAGGCGACGCAAAGATCTTTTTCTGGACAAGCTGCAACTTGTGTCTCGGTCTACTTTATATGTAGCAGGACCAGTAACAACAGAACCAGAAAGTTCTTTCCACATGAGTGCAACAGACATGTAATGTTATTGGCTTCACAGTCCTCAGAGTATTACCACCGGTAATGTAGTTGTCACAGCCGTAACCGCCCGCTGTCTGTAAAGGGGCTGACAAATCTGATCCGATGAAAACTTGATTACCTCAGTATTAAATCAGTCCTGTCGGCCGGTGCGCACGGCCCCTGTCCGCCTCTTCGAGCGACGTTCTGTCCGGTGGAGGACGAAATCCGCTCCAGAACCGCGCGGCGCCGTCACCTAACGTTAAAACCTCCTCTGGGCTCCACTCGGACGCCGTAGCTCCAGTTTGTAACGCGGAGTTCAGCTCAGGACGGCTCCTATCCTCCCTGAACCAGCGGGACCCTGTCTGTTAGAGACCGCCTCGCTCTGTGACACCCCCTCCCCCCGTCATCCAAAGGAAGGCTCCGATCGCCTTTCACATAACAGGCGTCATCATCACCACCATCACCATCCCCATCTGACCTCCCCGTCCCGCCCCCTCTGACACCATAACAATTAGGTAATGTTGCGCGTCTCTGTCCGGGCGCGCACAGGAAATCACATTGAGTCAGACCCCACCGGACGTGCAGCAGCCTGAGCTGAGTCCAGCTTTATAACTGCTCAAAGGACGCAGCCTGCAACTTTACACTGGTGTGTGATTCCCCACGTCCCAGTCCAGAGACCAGCAGCACCAGTGAACGTGGTGTCCTCACCTAATGTGTGTGAGTCCAGACCCTGGTTTATCACTCTGTGCCATAGACCCCCACTGTTGTCCACCAGCTACTAACCCCACCCCCCCGTCACACACGTTTCCTCCTCAGGAAACAAGGGAGGCGTCTGTTTTCAACACACAGCTGGATGAGGTTTGTGGGAAATAAACAAAATCTTTGGCCCAGTAGTAAACCTGCTTTCTTCTTGTAGCCTTCTCCTGCATTGTGGGCATCAATAACTTTCATTTTCAGGGTCTTACACAGCTGCTTAGAGGAACCCATGGTTGCTGGGTGTCCACAAGTGTGTGCACAAGGTTTGAAGAGTCAAGGTATTTGTACAGCTTTGAAATTGGCATTTACCAATGACAGCTGTTGCTGTGCATCAGATCTAATGAGCTGATTAAGGTCTGAAACCTTGTGAGAGACTTTGAGACTCTGGAACTCTTAGGGTGCCCAAACTTTTGCACCATGCCATAATAATGTTTTTATTTTTTATTTTTGTTCAATTTATGGCATAAGAAGTAACTATGCATCACTGTTTGCAGAAAATATTGTGCATTTTTTCCATTTCCAAGAGAAACTGTGTTAACATCTGTTCAAATAAAAAATCACCAAAATCTGTTATTTATCAAGGGGTGCCTAAACTTTTGCATAAGACTGTATAAAATCTTTCCATTCTATACACATAGAATCTACTTCCTGTCTGTCCATCCCCTGTTAGGTTCCTTCCATTTTGGGCCTTTTTTGGCAGGTTTTCCTGATCTGATTTGTCTCAGGACAGAGGGCGAGGCCAAGTTGTGATAGTGAGATGTAGGAGTCAAATCTGACACGATCACCTCAGTTAAACAGTTCTCCTGTATTGTATATCTGAGATGAGTGTTGACGCTGCTTTGCTTCTGTTACTGCAGTTTCTTAACAGTTGGCTGATAAGAAGTCTGACCTCTGACCCCACACACACATATACAACGTAAACATTTTCTTATGATCACTGCCAGGTCACTGGTAGAAAATGAACCTCAGCTATTTAGAAGCAACATGTTCTGGTTCCACCTTCTTTAATGTGAGGAGCTGATGCTTTTCTTTGTCAGACATGAGAATCAGCTGAGTCTCTGTGGATCTGTGGGTTGGACACAACGAGACGTGTGGAGACGCCACCTTTGGCTCTGGAGAGTCACAGTGGGACTTTTCCCCAGTGTCTGACATTCTGGGGACAAACAGATCAGATCATCAGGATGGTGATCAGCTGATTGATCAGTGGTCCTGTGTCTCTCCTTGTGCATAACAATGCCCAGATATGACTCACAACACTGTTAATACCAAACACTACAGGCAGTGTTTGTTGGTCCAAACCTTTACCAGAGCAGGATCCTGTGCATCACACAACATCTGACTCATTGTTACCTCAGCGTGCGCTCAGTGCTCTTTGGTGTGCACACACACTGTGTGTTGGTTGAAAACGTTCATTCAGCGCAGTAACAACACAGATTAAAAGTGTTTTGTCACTAAGGTGTAAGTTAATAAATATCTAGCCTGTTGTAGTCACGTCAGTGACCCTGCCGGTCTTGTTAACTGTGGCGTGAGGAGCAGCCAGACACTGACAGAAGGTAAACTAGCCCATGGACACTGAGCCCAAGGCTGGTTCGGCACAGACTCTCTCTGTGACATTCATTAACCTTGTGCTCACTTACTCTGCTCCTCCCTGGGGGATGAGATGCGTCTGCGGCACAGACAAACTATTGGATCTCTGGAGCAGGTCGGGGCCAGGCTCCGAAGTGACTGACTGGGAAGCCACTGTGGATGTCCCAGTCCAAAGTGCCAGAAGCTTCCACCGTATGAAACAACCACCACTGAGGCCTGGATATTATAAAACAGGATAAGGATAATCACCTTTATTGGCCAAGTATGTTACACACAAGGAATTTGTCAGTGTCTTGCCCAAGGACACTTCGACATGTGAACTGCCAGCACTGAGATTTGAACCTTCAACCTGGGAGATGACTGCTCTACCCACTGAACCACAGTCGCCACCCCCATAAGGTGAAACAGCTGATTTTAACTTCAGAAACAACCGGTTCTGTCAGTTAAACACAGTATTTCAAACAAGTAAAATTACTTTCCATCTGTACTTGACATCACATTCTGCATTGAACAGCTGCAGTGGACAGAAGGAGGACAGTCTGTCGTGGACTAATGTTAGTAAGTCAGGAAAACCGTAACATCGAGGATTTAATAAGATGATTGAACACATTTAATACCAGAACCTTCTCTCTGTATTGAAATGTCTGTTTGATTTCTGCAACAGGAAGTGAGTTTCACCATACCTCAAGTTTTGAAATATGTGCTTGTAACACATTTACTTCAGAAAGTGGTTTTGCTACTGGGTTGGTTGGAAGTGAACAACAACAACAAACATCTTGATGATGACTTAAAAATATCAATTCTAACTGGTGTCAACACTTGTCTGAGACAGAGCAAATGTCATGTGTCAGTTGTTCACAAAAGACATGTCATACATTCCAGCTCCTTTATCTGTGGACTGGCTGTAACACACATTACTTTTCTTACATTTCCTGTGTGCATTACTCAGTACAAGCGTCTGCACTCAGCTGACGTGGAAAAGAGAGGCAGGCCT